TAGTAAAAGAACTTTTCAAACAGTTAAATGATACCGGTTTCATATCAATGTCATCAGAGGTTTTAAATAGAAAATCAGTCAGATTAATTCCAATAATGGTTTGGTGGATGATTTAATGGTTTAGTTTTCCCTTCAGTTCATGGAAACAAAGCAAAGCTTCTGGAAGATCATTCTGTGGAAAGTGAAACAGCTGACATTACTGGGAATTCTATCTAACTTCATTTGAAAAGTTCAATGCTAAAGATAAAATTCTTAATTTTTACAGTAATAATACACATTTTGGTAGAACACAGCACTGTAGTAAAAACAATGTTCTTACTAAATTAAGAAATCTATGAAACACAAACATACTTGGAATTAGAATTAGAATTCATATTGTGCCCAAATGAACTGTGATGAGTTCCAATAAGTACCAACCAAAACAGAAGCCACAGTTGTCAGATTTTAGGTAATTTTACTTATACTCAAAATAATTGAATAACCAAGTTTTTGTAATAAACTGATGTTAAATACACAAAAATACTTCAAAATCGCATGAGATGCTTTCTCTGCTGCTTATCATCAATTAGATTTTTTAAATATTTGAGCCTTTGAAGAGCGACTTTATAAAATCTAAGTGTCCTATAATGATGGTGTTATTATTACTGAAAACAAGTTCTCTAAATCTTAGTTGCATTTTGTTCAAAATCAGTTAGAAATCTATAATCAAAGCATTCAACTTAAGCCTTTGATGCTTTTAGTAAAATACAATTAATGAAAACAAAGCTTTTTACACACAGGAAGACATGGAAATTTATCCCTACAAAAGCAAAGAAGAATTGAACTGTACATTAAAAACTGAAACGGTGAAATGATTTAATTTTGAAATTCGGTAATTGCCCTTTGGAATATCTTGACTTGCAGGAAGAACCTTTTGATGGAATTCTTATTTTTAATTGTATCAATTTATGTTCTGTGCCAAAATGAAATGAAATTGAGTAGGCTTAAAATTTGTAAAACATTCAAAGGAATCATAAATAGAGACAACTTACTTGACGAATTTTGTCTTTAAAAATATTGACGACTAGGGCCGACCCCGTGGCTTAGCGGTTAAGTGCGCGCGCTCTGCTGCTGGCGGCCCGGGTTCGGATCCCGGGCGCCCACCGACACACCGCTTCTCCGGCCATGCCGAGGCCGAGTCCCATATACAGCAACTAGAAGGATGTGGAACTATGACATACAACTATCTACTGGGGCTTTGGGGGGGAAAATAAATAAATAAAGTTTAAAAAAAAATATTGAAGACTTTATTACTGAAAAAGGGTACTCTGAATGCAGGTAAAAAGACAGAACCTGTAAAAATAGTAAAAATGAAATATTTACCCATTTCAATCAAAACAAATTTTTAAAAATTGAGACGCTTCCATTTAGTAGAATTTGCTCTGAGCTTACCAGGTACATGAGAACCAAAACAGAGTATTTTCTTACTGAAAAATATTATGGTCTAAAGAAAAGAATTATCTGAAGGTCTCACTTCAAATTTATTAACAATAAAATGCAACTCTGAACAAGACTGCAGCCAATTTTATAGGAAAAATAAAGACTATATCAAAAAAAAATATTTTTTCAGAAAAATATCAGCAATACCAGGTTAGAGACAGGCTAAAAAACTGATTAAAGTACATGAATACCAAGAATGACTATTCTACTTATGTTAATGTTTAGGTTGTATGTTTAACATTTAGATAATCAATGTAAAGAAAGTTTTTTTAATGTTTTAATGTCACAAATATGTTTTTTAGGAAAAAGTGTTTTGAAATAGTTTTTGACTAGAAATGTTATAGATCTACCAAAACAGAATTTGCCAATCAATAAATTCAAAAAATTGTAATTTTAACTCCTTTGAAATCCTCTCCCATTCTCAAAGGTGTCCTGGTTTAGGTGATAAATTAAAAAATCCACTGTAAATTTCTGAGCATAAGGACTCATTCTATTCTGCCTTTATCCTCTTCATGATGTAACTACAAGAAGCCAATGATTACCAAGCCATTTCTCACCATCTGGATTCTCCATCCTCACAGAGCAATGTTCTTTTCCTAATCTGACCACCCCTCCCTAACCCTCCCACTGGGCCTCATGAGATTCATGGTCTGGCACCAGCAAAATCTGTACATCCTCAGCTTTTTTTCTGAACATTCATCTGGAGACTGCTTCCTTGTTAGCCCTCTTAAGTGGTGACTGATTTCATTTCTACATCCCTCTGGGGCCTGGAGGTGGGCCCTCCTTGCACTTCATTACCACTTCCATTTTATTGCCTCAACCAACTCTCTCTTAAAAAAAAAAAAGGATGAAACTGCTATTGGAACACCTACAGATTCCTAAAAAGAAATCCCCCACGTTTCCTAAGGATTTTTAGCACAAGACTCATTGTTATTCTCTACAACACTATTCTTTTATCATAATTCTTAGTATATTCAATATCGATGCAGATGAAACTTTCTGAAACTCTCTTTTCCTCTACCCCATCTCAGACTCCCATGGCCATAGCCTAGATTTTGTCTTTACCAATACTGCAGTTGCTTCATAATCTCAACTTCAATCATCCTTATCACTTACATTTTCATTTTATACTCTTTTTTTTTTGGTGAGGAAGAGTGGCCTTGAGCTAACATCGGTTGTCAATCTTCCTCTATTTTGTATACAGGACGCCACCACAGCATGGCTTGATGAGTGGTGTGTAGGTCCACGCCCAGGATGCAAACCCGTGAGGCAAAGTGTGAGAACTTAACCACTACGCCACTGGCCCTTCCTCCCTACGTGATTTCATCCAAGTTCACAGCATTAAATATCATCTCTATATTGACAACTCCCACATTTAGATTTCCAGCCAGGACCTCGAGCCTAAATTCCAGGAGGCATCAGCTAAAGATGTAGATTTCTACCTCTAGGTCACATTTCTTCTCTGAGCTTTAGACACATTTATCCAACCCAGTCTACAGCTCTAGTTGGATGTCTCAAAGAAATCCTACACTAACCATGTCCAAATGCAAACTCATAATCTCCACCCTCTCTTATATCTCTGAAATATGCTCCTCTCCAAGTGTTTCAGATATCTGTGAATGGCACCATCATTTCCCCAAATGTAACATCCAGAAACGCAGATGTTATCCCAGACACCTCCCTTTCTTTCATCCTTAATGTCTGATCCATCCTACTGATTTTACCTTTTAAAATACTTCCTGAATGTATCCTCTTTTCTCCACACCCCTGTCTACTCTAGTCCAAGCTTCTATCACAGTCAACCAGACTAATGCAGATACCTCCTAATAGTCTCTCTGCATCCACTCCCGCTGCTTTTCAATTCATCCTCCACGCATCTTCTCAAAAATGAGAGTCTGCTTACATCTCTGTTTCAAATATTTAATACCTTCCTGCTGCTTTTAGAATAAAAACAAGATTCCTTAATAAAGCCCAGAAGGCACTGGATAGGATGCCCATTGCCTACCTTCATAGATTTGTCTCTCGTCAATCTCTGCATCACGCTGCATTTTAGCATCACTAGCTTTCAATTTCAGTCTTTTGAGCATACCATGGTCCCTACTCCCACTGGAACTTTGCACATAGTGTTCCCTCTGCCTGCAATGCCACCACCCCACTCCACTGCCACCACCATCCATCTCTTTATACTTCTTAATGCCTACTCAATCTTCAGATCTCATCTCAAGAAACACTTCCTCAGAGATGCCTTCTCTGCCTCCTCAAACTAGATCCAATTCCCCTCATATATGCTTATCACTGCACATATCACTTCATATTTCTAAGTGTAATTCTAAATGTACATTTATTTTTGTGATTAATTTGTGCTCAATGTCTGTCAATCTAAAAAGACCTTAACGTCAACGAGGGAAATGATTGTGCTTTGTTTGCACTGCTGTACCTCTAGCTCCCAGCAGAGTAGACACACAAATATTTTTTCAATGAATGAATCAACGTAGGAATAATAGTGGAAGCCACACAATTGGACAGTACTGCATAGGAATGGGATTTAGAAAGTTAAAAGGGACCAGAGTAACCCTGGGAAAATATCACCATTTAGGAATCAAGCAGAGATAATAAGTTAGAAAAAAAGTCATCAGAAAGTTAAAAACAATAATGAAAAAGGAAATAGCATCACAAAAGCCAAAGGAGAATAAAATACCAAAAAGACAGAACAGCCGCTAAACATGACAAGCAGGCAGCTGGTGATCCGACAGAACAATAACGCAACACGCAGAGCGGCAGTGAACAAAGGGAAAACGTGGGGAAAGCTCACGAATTCCAACTCCTCTGGAAGTAAGATTTTAACTTTTTTAATATACTAAAACTACCAAGACGGTCTGAATCCAACAATAACTCTAAGGAAAATATACGTGCCATTTTATATTTCAGCCTTCTTTCTCTCTATCTGGATGCGTCATTTTAGGCTGACTGCTTACCTGATGTATCACAATAAATGTTCTAATATTAACACCTGAAACGTTCTTTCTGTTTCTCAAAGTATCTTACCTCCCAGAATCATCGAAACAGACATCTGTGTGGCCCTCTGTATGTCCATATCTCATCGGCTTCTGCGTGGCAGGCATCTTTTCCTTCACTGAAATGGTTTACAAAAGCCAGTATTATTTGAAAGGAGAGGAAAGCCGGGGCTGAAGCGGAAGAAGGAAGGTTCTCTTCTCCCGGGCGCGCTCTCGGCAGCCCCGTTCTACCCGAGTGGCACCAACAGGATACAGCCGAGGCTCTGTCAGACAAAAAGCCGGGGCGAGGACACGCTTCTCCTCGATGGGCGGCACGGACCCGGGCTCACCGAGGCGACCGAGCCTCCGCGACCGAGAAAAGGCGAGGAGCGAGCGCCCGCGCAGGACGGCTTCCCGCGCTCGGGCGTGTTGGCCACAGTGCGCCTGCGCCGGCCCACCCACGCCAGCGCAGGTCTCGACCGAGGTCGCGGGGCGGTGGCGTCAGCTGCGCGCCGGCTGCCAGAAAAAACGCCGGTGGCTGGGGGAGTGAGAAAGAAAGGGAGGGAGCCGGACACGGAAGTGGTGGCAGCGCCTGGGGAGCAGGTGGAGGCGGTGACCGGGACGTCTGAGACGAGATCCCAGCGCCGAGGGGAGCGGACATGCAGAAAGGCATCCGCCTTGTAGGACATACATGAGGTGCAGGAGCGGCTGGGCCTCCCTTCTCCGCCTCAGCGAGCGCCCAGAGTGATGGCGATGGTGATGGCGGCAGTGCCTCGGGCAGCCCCAGTGAAACTGCGCTTCGGGAGGTGAGCGGGGGAAGGGTGGTTGCTCCCTAGCCTTGCTCCTTCCTTCCAGGCTTTCTTCACGTGCCGGGTTATGGTTATATCCGGGTCCCTGGATGGTCCAGCCTTTCCTTGGGGCCCGGCTGGAGGAGACCTTTGGGCATCTTCTCTGGAGGAGAGGAAGGCGAGACCCTTCTCAAGCCTGTGATCTTGGCATCCTTCCCGCCCTCACCTTGTCATTTCTGTAGAGATAAAGGGGGGGAGAACAGTCTCAGTTCGCGGTCCCTGGAGATATGGCGTCTACATTTATGCTTATTCTTTGGGACTCTTTACATAGATCCCTTCAGAAGAAAGTATCCTGGATTTCTCTGTTCAGACCCCACCTAAAGTTCACTGAAGTGCTTCTTTAGATCTAAAAGAAGAGCTAGAACTAAGGTGATTGTTGAGTACTTCGGTCCTGCAATCTGTGCCAATAAGTTTATGCCTTGCTTGTGTCTTCAGGTTCTTCATGTTGGTAGACCGGTCTCTGATGAAAACCTTCACGATGATATTTTTTTTGTATGGCAGCCAACTTCTAGTCTCAATCAGACCTCGTTTGTGGCATGTGAGACATTTTTCTGTTGTATGGATTTCCCCCATTGTTTTTCAATCTAATTCCATTGGGAAAAGTTGCCAAGGCACAATGAAGCACAGTTAGACAAACCGTGGTATTGTTCTTACCGTGGTGGCATTGTGTGAGGGGTTGTTTTGAATACTAGGGCTCCAAATAGGCTTGCTGGACGCTGAGGTTTGGTATGTGAATGAAGAGGAAGAGTGATTGGCAGAAACAGAACTTGGGATTTGTGGAATAATAACCAACCTATTGTTGATTTCCCACAAGAGCAAAAGATACCTGAGACGATTCTTTCTGAGTGACTTAATCTTATTTGGAGATCATTCGTTTTTTAGGTACATTGATTTATAATTTTTTTAATTTTATTTATTTATTTTTCCCCCAAAGCCCCAGTAAATAGTTGTATGTCGTAATTGCACATCCTTCCAGTTGCTGCCTGTGGGACGCGGCCTCAGCATGGCCGGAGAAGCAGTGCGTCGGTGCACGCCCGGGATCCGAACCCCGGGCCGCCAGTAGCAGAGCGCGAGCACCCAACTGCTAAGCCACGGGGTGGCCGTATAATGTTTTTTTTTAATCAAAGTAAATATCGTTGGACAGACTATGGGGTTCAAGATGAACTCTGATAATACTTGCCCCTATATAGAATAAATCACGATGAGATTTCAATGTAGTACTCTCCAGAGCTCAGCATAAGAAGAATCTGCAAATTGGAACAAGAGCTATAAAATACCTTAACTATAGGGCCGGCCCCGTGGCTTGGTGGTTAAGTGAGTGCGCTCCACTGCTGGCGACCCGGGTTCGGATCCCGGGCTCGCGCCGACGCGCTGCCTCTCCTGCCATGCTGAGGCCGCGTCCCACATACAGCAACTAGAGGGATGTGCAGCTATGACACACAACTATCTACTGGGGCTTTGGGGGGAGAAATAAATAAATAAAATCTTTAAAATACCTTAACTATAATATCTATAGTACCATGTGACTTTAAAACTGTGAATGGTGTCCACTCTTCTGACCTTTCACTCTGCCTTAGCAGTCAAGCCATTTGATACATAGGTTAAAGAAAAATTTTCTTGGGCCGGCCCCGTGGCTTAGCGGTTAAGTGCGTGCGCTCTGCTGCTGGCGGCCTGGGTTCGGATCCCAGGCGCGCAGCAACACACCACTTCTCCGGCCATGCTGAGGCCGCATCCCACATACAGCAACTAGAGGGATGTGCAGCTATGACATGCAACTGTCTACTGGGGCTTTGGGGGAAAAATAAATAAAAAAATCATTAAAAAAAAAAAATTTTTTCTTTATAAAGTTCACATGTAAGGAAAGAGCTTGGGCCTTAGAGTTGAATAGCCTTAGGTTTTAATTTTGACTCTGACAGTTTCTCATTGTGTGACCTTGAATATACTTCTTTACTTTTTCTGATTTGTCAGATTCCTCATCTCTCAAATGTAGGTAATACCTACCTCCATTGAATTGTTAAAGGATATAGGAAATACTCATGGATGTAGAAAACTAATTATTATTGATGTCTCGTGTTATTTACTGGGTACTTTGGGTGAGCTTATAGTGGCTTCATTTAAAATGGAGTTGGTTTAAATCATCCAGTAAAATTTTTCAAATATTAAAAGATGTATTCTTACTTTTGCTAGTGTTATGTTTTCACAGTTCCATCCTGTTTCAATCAAATGCTTACAAATTTTAATGTCTTCAGTGAGTTCATGGTCTTGTTGAGGGAAACAGACGTTCAGACAATATGTACAAAATGATAGTGTGGTAATGAAATGTGTATAACTTAAATGTTAGCAAAATTGTCTGGTTATTTAAGATCACATAGCTTTTAAAAAAGAAACCAGTGTAGCTGTCTGTCACTGATGTGGCTGTCAAAATTTTGAAAATGGATTTATTTATCAATAATAGTGCATGTCTTGTAGGAGTGGCTAGCTGAATGAACTCACTGAAAATGATGCCAAGGTTGCAGATTCAATTGCAGTGAAGGTTAGTTAATTGTGCTCTGCTGTGACCACTCATAGCACGCTTAGGCTCACGAATATTGTTGGTCTCCAGGGCAATAGGGTGAGAGAACATGAGTATATTATCATTCTACTGATGGTGGTGAGTATTATCTATATAAATAATAATAATATCACAATCTTAGAGAGTCAGTTTATCTAAGAGGCATATCAATATTGCCTTTTGGAAGGAGTTTTAAAAATGCCTTTGCAATAAAATATGTACTTGATGTAAAAATCACTAATCCTGTGAAAGATAAGGCTGGAAGAGAGTGTAACAATAACTGAAGAGAAGAAAGTATGGAAAAAATAACATTGAAAGCAGTTTAGAAATCTGAAGATTTTTATATCTCTGAAACTTACCAGCCCATTTAATTTATTTTTAGGATAAATAATATGTGCACATGTATAAACTTCCTAAAGTATAAAAGGGACTACAGTAAAAGTCCTACTCCCAGCTACTTAGTTCCCCTGCCTTAAATTTTTTTTTTTTTTTGTGAGGAAGATCAGCCCTGAGCTAACATCCATGCTAATCCTCCTCTTTTTGCTGAGGAAGACCGGCTCTGAACTAACATCTATTGCCAATTCTCCTCCTTTTTTTTCCCCAAAGCCCCAGTAGATAGTTTTATGTCATAGTTGCACATCCTTCTAGTTGCTGTATGTGGGATGCGGCCTCAGCATGACCTGAGAAGCGGTGCGTTGTTGGTGCACGCCTGGGATCCGAACCCAGGCTGCCAGTAGCAGAGCGCGTGCACTCAACTGCTAAGCCATGGGGCCAGCCCTCCCCTGCCTTAAAGACAGCCAGTATTTGATTCTTGTGTTGTTACATTAACAGTGGATCCTTACCACAGCAAGACAGATATAATCATTGTTTTATCGTGAAAAAACTGAGACTCAGAAAGGTTGTGATTTGTCCAAGGTCACACTCCTACCAAATGTCAGAGCTAGAAATAGAACCCAGGTCTTTTACTTTCTAATCCAAAGTAGTCTTACTATGCTGCCTCTCTAAATCATAACTGTTGCCATAAAACTTAGAATTTAGTAAAGCATATCAGAACATAATAGTGATTTTAAGTCTAGTGTCACCTTATACTAGTTTGTAGGTAAAACTTGTTCCCAAGCTTAAGTGTAAGCATACATAAAGCAATGAAAAGAATAATCTATAGTCAGTTAAAAAAAAAATTTCTTTTGAGCCTGGCCCGGTGGTGCAGTGGTTAAGTGCATGTGTCCCGCTTTAGCGGCCTGGGCTTCGCAGGTTCGGATCCCAGGCGCGCACGGACACACCACCTGTTAAGCCATGCTGCGGCGGCGTCCCATATAAAGTAGAGGAAGATGGGCACAGATGTTAGCCCAGGGCCGATCTTCCTCAAGAAAAAAAGGGGAGAATTGGCATCGGATGTTAACTCAGGGCTAGTCCTCCTGACAAAAAAAAAAAAATTTCTTTTGCCCACTATTTCTGTTGAAATCTATTTATTTACTAAGTTAGCTTGCAAAAACGACACACTTTTTATAATTAAAAGTTTGGTTATTTACACCCATAATATTTTTAAAGAATTTAAAACTTTTTAAAAAGAGCATGTTTAATATCAGGAGTGTGTTATAATATTTCAGAAAGGCTGAAGCCTCCACAGCGTCAGAGTTTTGAGGTATATTTGCATGCAGATTTTCTTGCCTTATATGTAGCCTTTGTTTCCTTTCTTCCTTTTCTTAATTTTGCCACTTTCCTATCTCTCATTTTTAGAAACTACTTTCTTCTACATGAAAAGGCAGCTGTTATATATTTTCATTAAGCTCCATGTATGCTATTTTCATACATTTTAATCCTGGCAGTAAAAACATGAGTAGCTGGCATTATCCAGATTTTACAATGGGAAAACTGAAGCTAAATGAGATTTTAAAAATCAGGTGAGTAGTAAGTGACAGTCTGAATTTTAGCTTGTGTTTGACAGTTTAGCAGCTCATGTTATTTCATCTGCACCATGCTTCATTTTTAAATATGGTATAGTGAAAAACTGTAGATTGTTAAATTTTCATGGATCTTTAAAACTTTAAAATTTTCTCTTTTGGGCCAGCCCCGTGGCTTAGCGGTTAAGTGCGCGCGCTCCACTGCTGGCAGCCCGGGTTCGGATCCTGGGCGCGCACCGACGCACCACTTCTCTGGCCATGCTGAGGCCGCGTTCCACATACAGCAACTAGAAGGTTGTGCAGCTGTGACATACAACTATCTACTGGGGCTTTGGGGGGAAAAGATAAATAAATAAAATCTTTAAAAAAAAAATTTTTTCTCTTTCGACTAAATTGACCACAAGAAAATAGGCCAAAATGTCTAAATTGATTGCTTCTAGGTAACTGAATTATACATTTCTTTTCATTTTTTAAAACTTTTCTAAATATTCCATATATTTTATAAT